TATTATTATTTTTCAACTGTTATCTATTTTTTTGCTTAGAAATAGTATGAACATTTGACACAATACATAGTTTGGTTACTTGATTACTATTCAAGTGGAATTTATCTAGCTGATTGGCATTCATGTAGTTTACTGATATGAAGTTTCTTCTCTTTGAATTACAAAAATATGCATAGGCGGGTATTTGAAGAAAACCCCCTTACTTGACCTTATCCCTTTTGCTCATCTGCAAGTGTTTTTTTTTTTGTCCTTCCTAGAATGTATATGATTAGGGTGCTTTTCATATCTGCCAACTTTTGAGGGTTTGAGGAGAAAATTGGAATGTCATCAACCTTTAACTTATATCATATCAACTGTTGGAATGGGAATATGGGTTGTCATTGACATAAGGTTGAACGAATAAGCCTGCTCATATATGATAGTGAATTTAGATCCAAATTGATTGATATTATAGATAAAGTGATTCATCAATGGATTAGATAAAAGGAACCATGAACCAGAGATATCAGAGTGACAAACCTTTTTAATACTTTGTGTGTTTGTTATTTGACGTTTTTCACGGTAAAATTTATGATGGGCAATAGCTTTGTTATGAGCGTTTGGAAAAATAGGGCTGAAAAAAGGAACCTTCAATTGAAAAGAGCTGATTAGACCTATAGTATGCTTTACTGCCTTGAAAGAGCAATTGATTTTTTGTTGTATATTTTTCCCGTCAAAATGTGTTTGCTTGAAAACAGTGGTGGTCATTCCGCCATTAATCACCTCAGATCTTTTGTGGTTTGCCTACGATTCGCATACTCTTGGGGAGCAGTTATATAGGAGCTAGACCGAGAATTATTTTGAATTCATAGAAGATGGTTTGTTTTGAAAAGGGGCACCTTGCACTCTTCAGCGCTTGCTTCTTTTTTGGCTTGTATGTTTGGGTGCCTGCTTATTCATGATTTACTTTGTCCTTTTCTAAATTTTTGGTTTAATAAAATGATATCCCCATTAGAAAAAAGTGTTTAACTGAGGTATCGCGTTGAATTCAGAATTCGTTATGAAGTGTTTCTGTTTCATTTGAGTTCCTGTCTGCATGTTCTTGAGACATAAGAGTGAATTCCATGAATTCTCTGTCAAGTGTTTAACTGAGGTAGCACGTTGAATTCATTATTCCATTGATGTGTTTCTGATGCATTTGGATTATTATCTGCAGGTTCTTGAAAAAGAAGAGTGAATTCCAAAAATTAGAGCTTGAATGGTTCACCAACGAATTGCAAGCTATGGCAGTGGCTGCTAAGGAATGAGTCAAGATTATTGATGTCCAATGTCATAACATCACTCCACTCTACAGGTTGATCGAGATTGATTGTGCATTATTCGAATTTACATTCCAATGATCTGATTCCATATTGAATTACTCATGAGAAATCAAAGAAGTAAGGGTTGTCAAATCCAACTGTATGCTCTAATTCAACCAAACAAATATATTCTTTTTAGGCTAAACATTTAGTATCATGAAGCTACGTTCGTTTTGCTTATTATCTCTACAAATGGTGGATGCTCAGGAGACGGAGACCTTAAAAGAAATTGCCACTTTAGCAAGTTAATGTAGAATTTTAGATGTCTCATCGAATTTGAACTAGCAAGCTCTTTAAGATATTGGGTTAGGATATAGGGATAGATAGGTAGATAAAGAGAATGTAATTAGTGGTGGGAGTTTAATCATTGATGTGTTTAAGGACTATTAGTTGGGAGGCATTCATTAATGACTTGTTTTATTCCCATTGAGAGTCTAGATGGATTGCATCCCTTTCTTCCATGATCTTTTTATCCCTGTTTAGGAAGCATAGTTTCTAAGTGTAATTCTATGTAGTTTATGAATCAAGGGAGGTTGATATTATTTCTGCAGAATCTTGGAAAGAGGTGCCATCTCCAACATTTCATAAAATTGTATCAGGCAAGAACAATATCGAACTCTTGGAAAAGTGAACTTTATATTAGAATTTGTATTGACTATTTTGGTAGATTATATCCACATTAATATAGCAACTCAATTTCTCATATTGAGCACTCTCCAACTTGCTTGATGGTTCACAAGTCACATCAACTTTCGTATCGGCGTTAAATTGATTTTGTTTGTTTGATTACTCTCATTGCCTACTTCATGATCGAGTTGTTAATTGAAAACTAGATAAGCTCGCTGCGCTTCGCGGCGAGTGAAAAATAGCAATGTAAATGTGTCATTCTGAAAGAATTAGTAAAATGTAAATCATACAACTTAATTCTTGAAGGGCAAGACAACTCATTAAAATATTGTGGAGAGGTTCGTAGTAATTTGTACTCGGGAAGGATTGGTGGACGAGAGATGGCGAGTAAGGGTTGAACTGATTGGGACAGGTGAGATGGGCCCGCGGGTGTTGGGTGGGCCGAGCTGGTGCTTGAGTTGGGTGCGGATAAAATAACAACACCCTTAGTGTTGTTATTATAACAACAGAATTCATTAAGGGTAAATAAGTAAATTAACAAAAAAATATCAAATTACAATTAAATAAATAATCCCCAAACCCTAATCCACTCCTTCTATCTCGTATGCAATTTCTGTCGTTCCTCGCCGGCCTCATCTCTGGTTGTTCCCTCTTTCTTCTACCGCCGGCGTCGCAAGTCCTCCTCTATTTCCTTCTATGTTCCGGCGCCGATCAATCCCTAGATACGATCGCCGGTAGAGATCATGTTCGACGTCAGCGGCAGCCGTCGTCTTCCATGGCTGCAATAGCGACCTCGGTAAGTCCTAGCTTCTGCTACCGCAAGTCGTGGAGAATAGACAGCGGTTTTCTCTCCTCCGACACACTTTTCTCTCTCTGTGGAACTCGAACGCCTCCACGCCGCCGTCGCGAAGCTGGACCACCCGCTCGAAGCTCACATGTTCGGAACCGAGATCTTCGGCTACTGCAACGGACTGCTCGCGCTCCGCAATTCGGACGAGGAAATCGCATTTTAGAACCCTACCACTCGCGAGCACCGGATGCTCCCCAAGGCGGAGGTCGAGCTTCCTCCGGGGGATTCCAACTGCGAGTTCGTCGTCCGAATTGCACATATGGAGAACTACACGGAGCAAGAGCCCAGCCCTGCAATCGAGGACCCGAGTTTGTATCATTACGCTTTGTTCTCGGATAATGTGATTATTGTTTTTGTGCTGGTGAGGTCGGTGGTGATGAATGTAGAGGAACCGTGGAAGCACGTTTTCCATGTGGTTATGGATAGGATGAATCTTTGCAGCTATGAAGGTCTGGTTTAGGATGAGGCCTGTAAAATGAGGTGTTCATGCCTAGGGGTGGCAGTCGGTCGGTTTCGGTTTAACCGAAAACCGAAAACCCGGTTATCGGTTAAATCGAATAACCCTCTATAGCTGCCGACCACCGACCGTGAGAGAGGTCCGGTTAGCCGGTCAACCGACCGGTCGATTTCAGTTTTAGGCTCGGTTAGCCGGCCAACCGGAAAACTACCTTCTCTACAAAAAAAAATTAAAAAAATTAAAAAATACAAAAAATCTGAAACACACCCACCAAACCTTATCTCCTCCTCTCTTCTTCCTTCCTCCCCGACCCTTCCGCCTTCTTCTCCCCTTCCCTCCTCTCTTCCCCTCTCCCCACCAACTCCTTCTTCCAGAACTTCACCCTCAACAATGGCGACAACCCGGAGTACATTCACCCTTACCTCGTCAAATCCTCCGGCTCCGCCGTCTCCCTCTGCTACCCTTCCCTCTCCCACACCTCCGATTCCGTTTCCCAGATCTTCACCCCGGATCTCACCCTCAAACCCGACCCGAATTCCTCCTCCGCCGCGACCCATCTCATCACTTCCTACAGCGACCTCAGCGTCATTCTTGATTTCCCCTCTTCCAAACTCCGGTTCTTCCTCGTCCGGGGAAGCCCATACATCACTTGCTCTGTCGTCACCGCCGGTAAAACCTCGATTTCACTCTCCACAGTCCACTTCGTCGTCTCCTGCTGCTCCAACGATTCACTCGAAGAGGGTGGTTTTGTGGCTGGTGGAGGGGAGTCGGGGAGATGAGATGAGAGGCAACGAGGGTGGTCTTGCGCCGCTGCGCGAGAAGGGGGAAGGGGGAAGTTAGGGGTGGCAGTTGGCAAGGGAACCTGGGAGGAGGATTGGAGGGAGGCGGAGTCGACGACGATTGGAGGGCTGAGAAGAAGGTTCGGCATCGGCGATGCAGAGGGCTGGAGGCGGCTGGGGATTTGGGGGATGGGGGATGCTAGGGTTGGGGATTTGGGGATGGGGTGTTTTATTTAGGCAAAAACGGCATCGTTTCGGCTTGCCGGTTAGCGTCGGTTAGCCAGTTTAACCGGCGTCGGTTTTTCGGCTAACCGCCTAACCATGGAGCGCCTCCGACAACCGACCGTGGCCAGTTTTTTTCGGTTTCCGATTAGCCGCTAACCGGCGGTTAACGGTTAGACCGGCGGGTTAGCCGCTAACTGACAACCGAAATGATAGCCCTACTCATGCCTACTTTTCCCAATGGAGGTTTCATGTTTCAACATTTATCATGCCTACTGTTCCTTTTCCCCCATTTCATTTGTGTCTCACCTCAGCCTTTTGGTGAATTGGGAAAAGGGTTACAGTAGCTAGCGGAGATTGGTTGTAATGCAAAGATTATAATAAGCAAACCAAATGCTAAAGTTTCCATCTTTCCAAGATACTAAAGTCGTGGGGATGGGGTAGAAAAAGCAGATGATGGTGATGAAGAGAGATTAGCAAATAGCTCCAGACTGCAGAGGTGGTGAGAAAGAAGCTTCTGGTTAAAAGTTAGGGAATATAAATAAAGCAAGCTTAATTAGTTTAGTTAAGCCAAAACTTAATTAAGGGTAAAGTCTCACATCAATTAAGCTTTCCCTTGATTTCTTCGTACGTCCCAGTTCTGAAAGCAACTTGAAAGCTCTTATATGCAGAATTATTACTACAAGAATCAAGGAGAGAATGGTAGGAGTGGTGATGCAAGTAACATGAAGTTCAGGAACCCAAAGTACATATCTATGTTGAATCATCTCCGCTTCTATTTGCTGGAGCTGTATCCCAAGCTGCACAAGGTGTTGTTTCTGGATGATGATGTTGTCCAGAAAGACTTGACTGGGTTATGGAAGATAGATTTGGATGGACGGGTGAATGGAGCTGTTGAGACTTGCTTTGCTTCGTTTCATCCTTATTCACACTTCACAAACCAAACCACAGAATTTTAAAAAACACACTAGAAATCTCATAATGCAAACCACAAATACGATAGCAAACCACAAAAACAAACCAGAAATGTCCTAATGCAGACCAAAAATCTATTAAAACAAACCAGAAACCTCACAAAGCAAACCACAGAATTTTCAAAAGCAAGCTAGAAACCTCTTAATGCAAACCAGAAAGACGATAAAGCAAACCACAAAAACAAACCAGAAACGTCCTAATGCTGACCAAAAATCTATTAAAACAAACCAGAAACGTCCTAATGCATACCAAAAATCTATTAAAACAAACCAGAAACCTCACAAAGCAAACCACAGAATTTTGAAAAACACACCAGAAACCTCATAATGCAAACCACAAACACGATAAAATAAACCACAAAAGGCATACAAAAATATGAGAAACCAAACCATAAATCCCACAATGCAGACCATAACATTCGTGGGTCGTTGACCGTTGACCGGTCAACGAAAATCTTTGACCAAACTCCGACGACCGTCAGTAACTGGATTCCGGCGCCGATAACCATATTCCGGCCCGGATGACTAGATTCTGACGCAGGTAAGCATATTCCGACCACGGTGAGCATAATCCGGCGACGGTGGCATATTCTGATTGCAAAATAGCATATTGCGGCGACAAAAAAGCATATTCCGGTGACCAGCGACAGATTCCGGCGACCAAAATTTTGGGTAGAAAATAAAAAAAATATTTTTTTTATATTTAAACATATTTTTCATAAGGACAATTATACTCCTGTTTTGATTTTACACTAGGTCAACTAAGCTAATAAAAAGCCATCACAACCCTAGCTTCCTATTGGTTGGAGACTAGTGTTGTTACAATAACAACAAATATGGTGTTGTCACCATATCCGCTCCCGCTTGAGTTGGGGGAGGGGGCAAGGGATGTATTAGGAGGAGAGGAATCGTGTTGGGTAGGGCAAGTGTTGGAGGGTGGGGAATGACCTGGAAATGGTGGGGGAGGGCCGAGAGTAATTAATGGATTGGGCAGGGAAACATGGCTCCTGAGGATAACTTTAAAATCACAACTCAAATATCATTAGTTCGAATATTTCATATCGAATTGGAGTACTGAATATGTAGAAGTTATATAGAATTATTAAATTAGTATTTATTTTTGAAACTATTATGAAATAATCATATTCATATCTTTGTCTAAATAATATGGGATTGGTTCTTTGAACATTTTGGTTTGGCAAACCGCTAAATTGTAAACCTCTTCCTATTCTTACATGATTGGACCCGGCAATCAGTAGACGAGGTTGAGTTTAATAAATTGGTTTATTTCAAAAAAATTTAATGTGTTAATGAATTTATAGGACAAGGAAATTTCTACATACACACTCTACAAAGTATATAATACTGGAATGAGAAAATAATTCTCTCATTTCAAATTTTCTACAACGAGAGCGAAAGTAGGAATAATTTTATTGCTTCACAATTATTTATCTTTATTATTTATTAGAAAATAGGCAAGTATTGGATTAAACTAATTTATTTTCAAACAAAGACAAGAGTCATAACCATAATTGTCAATCCGAGTTGAATCAGTCAGTTGAACCAATTATGCTCAAAACCGAGTATCTAACCTGGCTCTGAACTCTCAGTTGGTTATCTAGTCAGGCTCAGTTAAACCCAGAAAAACCCAATCAAATTGATAAATCCAACCGATTCAACAAATTGGTTCGAGCACCGGGCCACTTCAAAATGAAGTCGTTTTCAAAAATCATATACGTAGTTTTGTCGTCATGTCGTGCTTTTTCTTATCACATACCCATACATCAGTGAAGATCAACAACCCATGTTTAACAATCTCATCGTCTCTTCTATTTCATTTAGGTTTGACAGGAAACTATACGAGTCTCAACCATCTCAGAAGACTTCATAATCTCTCCGTAGTCAATTCCATTTTTCTTCTTGCCGCACATTCATTGAGCCAATCGACGTCATCTCATGCAAAGAAAAAATAAAATAAAAATAAGAGGAACATGTGTTTGGACTGATACTTTGTGCGAGTGTGACAACAGAAGTCAAGTTCCTCATTTGTGTATGCTCTTGAAACCGAATTGGAGAAAAAATGTAAAAAATATTGAGACTGGAATATGAGACCTAGAAATGTAAAGAAGGAAAGAACATATATAAAAGGAAAAGAAAGAGGGAAGAGTTTGAGAATTAAAGCATCACTCCTAAAGGGAGAAATAAGTATAAAAAAGTACCAATAAATTCAATTCACACCAATGAATGAATTATTTAAAAAGTCATTGGACCTATGTTTATCATAAATATCTAAGAACCATACAAGTAGAACAAATAAATTTTTTCATACATCTCGGTAAAGCTTGGCTAAACGAAGGTAATTCAATTCGACCAGCGACCCTTAATCCATTTTCTTGAAGGATTCAATTCGACCATCGACCCTTAATCCATTTGAGAGTGGCCAGATGCTTACTGCGACGAGACGTGGCTGGAGATAAAAAACGGATCCAGGTTTCGGGTTGTGGCGTGGGAGCAGAACGCCATCACTGGGGAAATCGTGGTGGAGGAATGAGGGTTGTGCGCGAGGCGTCGATTGGGTTTTTGTGGATGAATGATGATTATGAGAACATATGCTCCGACAAGCTTCAGAGTCTTCGCAATTTCATGAATGGGTTCTCCCGGCAGGAGAGTCAACGGTTCGATGCCGGCGAAGTACTTCTCACAGCCGCCTTCGTTGTCTCTTGCCTCACCCATGAGGAAGAGCTCGTCGTCATGGTCGCCGCACTTAGGAACGTGGTCTTTGAAACCACCAATTCAGCTCACACTCACGATTTGCACCAATTCCGATTAAATGTAGCAACAGCGTTGCCGGATTCGAAGCTACTCCTATTCGCGAGGTTCGAGACCCGCGGCGGGCTATGAGGGAGCGCTGGGGACATTTGACACCGCGGAGGACACGACATGGGCTTACGATAGCCGCGAGCCAATCAAATGGCGGGATCGGAGAAGGAAAAAGGTTGAGGAGATGACGATTAATGGCAATGGGATCGAAAGTAGTAGTGAAATCATGAGCCGAGAATAAGAAGAGTTTCGGGAATGGATGACGATGATTATGGGTTTCTCTGGCGGGGACTCTTCGGATTCTGCCAGCATGTCGGGAACAATGTGCACAACCGCCTGGAGTTTGTGCTGCGAAATATATATAGAAGGGAGAAGGAAGATAGAGTCTCACGATGATGGAAGGGGATGGAAGAGAGTATTTTTTAAATTAAAATTTATTTTTGTTTATTTTTAAATTGCCACGCCATCAAACTAACAGTCAAAGGGCTTAGTTGACTGCCACATAGGATGATTTTAACGGAATTGGATGGCCAATGACTAATGGTGAAACGATTTGTAAAGTTAGTGGCGAACAAAAAAGAAAAGTAATTCGGGTGGCAAACGTGAAAGATTCTTATAATTTGAGTGACCAAACGTGTAATTTAGCCATATTTTTAATTGCCATGTCATCAAACTAACGGTCAAAGGGTTTAGTTGACTGTCATGTAGGATGATTTTAACGGAATTGGACGGCCGGTGACTAACGGTGAAACAATTCGTAAAGTTAGTGGCGAATAAGAAGGAAAAGTGATTCGGGTGGCAAACGTGAAAGATTCTTATAATTTGAGTGACCAAACGTGTAATTTAGCCTTAATTAAACAAACCAATGCCACATCAGCTCCACGCGGGCCAATAAGAAGCCGTGTTACCGGTGCCGCACTTTTTACAGCGACACCGTAGTATTGGCTAGGGGTGGAAATCGGTACGGTATCGGTATCCCAATACCAAATACCGAAATCTCGAATACCGAATGACACCCTAAAATCAATCTCAATCTCAATCCCTAAATATTTTGGTATCCCAATCGGTACCTCGGTATCCCAATCGGTATTATTGAATACAACATTAATTACCTTTTTAATTAATAATTGATGACTCGATATTTGCACATGTTTTCCCCTTTGTTTCTTGATAGTTTGAGCTTTAATTATCGCGTCTTTGGCCTATTTTACGCTAGATTGTGTTCCTTTGTCACATTTCAGGTCCTAGCACATAAAGTGAAGCATAGGCGCAAGTTTCAAGTCAATCAGAGATCAATTGGCGATTCGGGAGAAGAAACTCGGGCATGACCTGAAGAAGAATGGATTTCTACCTCACTTTATGGACAAAGAATCATGCAAGCTTGTCATGAAAAGAAAGATGACGAGACTACGAGCGTCTGGGATCAAACGGCGGCTGATTCGAAGTCCGGACGAGGGAGAAACGAAGCATTGAATATAGGGGAACAGGTTCGGCAGTAAAAACACGGGCGCGCCTAAATCAAAACACGGCCGTGTCCATATTTAGGCACGACCGTGTTTTGGCTGACACGCGCGGGCGTGTTTTTAACACGGGGCAAAACACGGGCGGGCAAAACCAAAGCACGGCAGTGCCCTCGACCGTGTTTTGCTCAGAATCGGGTTTTTGAGGCAGATTCAAGCCAAAGGAAAGGGAGAGCTGGGTTTTGGATCCCAAACACCCAAGGGACGAACCAAAGAGAGAGAGGGCGATTTGAGGGCAATCTTGGAGTGGAATTGGATGATTTCTTTGCCTTGGAAGCTCGAGGAACAAGCCCGGACTTGAAGACTGATCATCTGAAGATTCTTACTGCAGTCTCTCTCTTCTCTATGGAGTAACTTCCCTTCGCTTAGGTTTTGAGGAACCCTAGCTATGTTTGTTTGATTGGATGATTGTATGAGTACTCTTACTTGATAATCTTGAGTTCATATTCAATCTATGCATGTTTTCATGATTCAATTCTGCTTTAGTCGAGATTATTGATTCTGCTTTGATCCTATGAGAGCGAATACCTGATTAGGTCAATAGAGCACCATAGATTGATAGTATTGGATCGATTGCTTTAGTCGAGGGTTGATTCACTGCTTTGTATCGATTGAGAACCTCTTTCGATAGAGGGAGTCTAGTTC